AGAGAGAGAGAGAGAGAGAGAGAGAGAGAGAGAGAGAGAGAGAGAGAAGGGTCACAATATAAGTTTGTGGTGTAGCTAAGAACAGAACTCAGTCCTTCTGTGTTTCAGCCCTGGGATTTGACACCTACACAATACTTCTCAAAAGACTTCTAATTATTCCTTTTACTCAGTATATTGGATTATGTAATGTCATGTGCACTCAAGAAGGTATAATTTAAAGAGTCTGACATGAAAAAGCCTTCAGCCAGTCGGACTTCACACACACATATACCTTCCCCACATTAAAATTAAAACAGAAAAATTCTTTGAATAGGTTTGTAACTGTTCATGGCATTCACTGGTGCGTCTTGTATGTATGGGTTTTTCTGGCTTTCCCGTTGCTTGGAGAGAGGACAGGTTGTTGCTGGGATAGACTCTGGAAGGTCCTCAGGGGTTTTTTCCTGCCATGTCTTGCTGGAATAAATTTGTTTAGTTGTGAGGAAGATCATTTGTCCTGCCTTTCCTGGTACCTTCCTTCAATCTTCCCATCTGTCTTCCCATTTGGGGCTCTGCCTCCTACATCTCACCTAACACCAGCCACGGATGTTGTTTCCCAGTCTCTTAGGTCTGTTTTGGTATAGGTTCTTATACCTTGGTCTGTTGGGTCGTATTAGTCAGATGTTGCCTCATCTGAGTTCCCTAAGGCCATATGGAATCTTGCCTAGATTCCTTCCTGACCTTGGGTTACCTTGCTCCCCGGTATATCTTGCTCCCTCTTCAGTCTGTATTTGCCACAGTTTGGAGGTCCATCTCCCCTTTTCTCTTCAGGTTCCCACTCAGTCCAATCTTGCCCAGAGATGTCTGGAGTCCATGACTCATTTCAGGTAACTCCGTCAACCCTCCTTGGCTCAACTCGTTTTCAGAGGCCCCTTCCTGGGGCAGCCAGCACTTCTCCTCCATGAGACTCTGCTCTGGGCTTCTCTGGGCCTACTGGGGAACCCATTTCTGGTCCCCCTTGTTTGCCATCTGCTGAGCTTTTTATCCTGGTTCCAAGAGTCCGGGCAGCAAATCAGCGCCGCACGCTGCCATAAAACGCGCCCATGCCAGCACAGAAGCTGGTCCTAGCACCTTCTGGACCAGCAGTTCTTTTTTTTCTTTTTTTTTTCTTTTCTGCTGCTGCAGCGATTTTTCCTGCCACGGCTCCACTCCTGGTTTGCTCCTGGTTCAGTGCAGCGTGCTGCCGGCTCCGGTCACTCCCCACTCCAGGTAAGTTTATCCTTGTGGCCTCATGCCTGCTACAAGGTTATACTTTAAAAAATTATGCTAAAGAAGGATGTATAAGAAGGGGATTTTCTCCAGTTCTAGGGGTTGATCAAGGTATTAATTAAAGAACAAATCTTGGTATTACTGAAAACTTCCATGTATTTAAACGTAATCAAGACGTGACTTTCAGAGAACAAAGTTCTCAGCTTTAGACTCACCAAAGTAGGATACCATCTGCAAGTGATTTAAAAAGACTTTCATTTGATGGATTCATGGGAAGGAGATGCTTACAGTCCGGGTCATCTTGCAGAGCTTTATTTATCCAGTTAACAAAAGCAACCTTTTCTTCTTCTGCAAAATAAATAAATAAAAACTAAGTAGTCTAAGAATGAGGATACCACAGAACACCAGTAGAATAGTCTACTAAGTATTATAGTAGGAGGAAGGTACTATTGAACTGTCCAGAGAATATAATAGTAACACTCTGCCCATAACATAATTATAAAAATATATTATTAACATGGATTACCAGAGATCATTTTCTCTGTACTTATGTTAAAAGGAAGGAAATTACTACATCTGTATTATGATCAACATGAATGCACAGACACGATTGATTTTTAACTTGTTAGAATGTCAGTATTTCAGTCTGGCCTCTATACTCTGCTTTTCAGAGGCTGGTACCACCTCTAAGAATTTATTGTAAATGACTGTGCTATATTAACTTTAGGGAATTTGGGAATTTTCTTTTTACAGGGAGACTCTTCTATTCTCACCCCTTGGGAATTTATGTACAGGATTCATCATTACTTTTGTCTAAGAATCCTTATCACGACTACAATCAGTCCAGCTACAACATTTGTATCCTTTTCCAAGACTGTGTGTAGTGTTCACTCCTAAGAGTTGACCAGGTTTCAGGAGGAGACAGGTTACATAACATGCTGTGGAGAAATATTAAAATAAAGCAATTGATGCTATAAGAGCAGTACTCAGACCGTATAGAGCTAGCATGTACAAAACTTGCAGTTGACTCATGTCCAGAATGTAGACTCTGAATTCAAGTTCTAAGCACCACAGGAAGCCAAGCATACAGACAGAGCTGTCATTTATTATGAAAAAAAAAAAAAAAAGTCTTGTTAAAGGACTCAGTCCTGAAAGGCATTAAGAGGTCAGACTGATCCAACATTTAGGATCATGGGGCACTGACAGATGTGGAAAAAAATGCACTCTACTGCGAGCAGCAGCATGTTACTTTGATCCAGCTCCTCAGTGTCTAGAGAGATCAGGAGCTTCAGTGGGGCTTTTTGGTGCTTTTAGCTAAAGTTGATTCAAGCAGCTAAGTGCCAAAAAGCACCCCACTGAAGTGCCCAATCTCTACAGATGTTGGGAAAGGTGGGTGCAACTAAGGAACTGACTCTTCTGGGCATGTTAGGCTTGGCGTGGGAGCATACCGAGTTTAAAATAAAGCACCATTTTGTTCCTCCCCCACCCCATCTGCAAGCAGCCATGGTACTACTCTTAGAAATACATGCAAGCATATGCTTCAGTTCTTGCTTTTTAAGAGGACTTTTCTGCTTAGGGTCATAGTACTTACCACCTCTCTAGTCTCAAGCTCTAAACAGCAACCATCATCATGAAATCTATTCAACTAACATAACAGTCTTTTCAAGTACCAACCTCTGTCCTGCCCTGAAGTCCCCTCCCATTTTTGTGGTTTTTATCATAACATTTTCCTACATTTAAAAATTGTCTTTCTTTCCTCATTTTCTATAGGAAGGATCCACACAAACAATAGAACTGAACAATAAACCCAAACCCATATTTATATATACACAATGGTGCTTGTACATGTTAGACAAATAGTTGTACAGTTAATGTTCTGTACCTGCGGCTGCCTGCATGCACACACACACACAGAGCACTGAGATGAAGTCATGTACATATCTAAGCATATAATCAGCAGGTAGGGAGAAGAACTATTCAGAAGAGAGAGTTTAACTGAAATAGCATGAAATTAAGAAAGAAAATATAGATTAGGATGAGCAGTGTAAATCATCATCTAGGAGTGATGAAATTACTGTTACTTAGTACTTCTACAGCTAGACTGAAAGAAAGTTGGAGTACTGTGTCCAGTTCTGGGCGCCGCACTTTAAGAGGGATGTGGACAGCATCGAGAGGGTCCAGAGGAGGGCCACTCGTATGATCAAGGGACAGCAGGGTAGGTCCTATGAGGAAAGGTTGCGGGACCTGAACCTGTTCAGCCTTCAAAAGAGTAGGCTGAGGGGGGATCTTGTGGCCTGTTATAAACTGGTTAGGGGGGATCAGCAGGCGCTGGGGGAGTCCCTGTTCCCCCGAG